GAATAGAATAAACGAATTTATTATGACATGGGCCCCCTTCTTATTATGTGGATAACCAAGGACCTTTCAATTGAAATCATTATCTTAGTAGGAATGAAAGCTCGAAGAAAAACCTTAAGGGATCAATATATGGCCATTTGGTATATCTTAAGGATCACCCATTTTAAGCTATCAAGGTTGTAAAAGAAAAAAAAACACCTCAAGGCTACCTCTAATACATTTTACTCCTAAGAACCTTTATTGTATTTATCACTCAAACAACCTTAAGATACATGCCACCTCTAATACATTTTACTCATAAGAATCTTCATTGTATTTATCATTCAAACAACCTTAAGATGCATACTTCTAAAAAAAAATGTAGGTTTAGTTTTTAAATAAAAATAATGTATTTCTAACATAAATTCCCTAACTAAAAATCTCTAATGGGGGCTTTCGACCACTCTCCAAGAAAGGAATTAACTTCATCTCCCTATAGCAATATCTCCATAATCATTAGAAGTTGATCTTGAATCCTCCACTCTTAAGTGCATCTTTTAATTAACATATTATCTAGGTGATTCGAAAAAGCATCTCACCAATTCACGATAGGTTGATCTTGAATCCCTACTCTCCAATCTAGTCTTAGATTGACACATTTTACAGATGATACCAAAGGGTCTTTTACTAATTCACGAGGGGTTGTTCTCGGATCCCCCACTCTCCATTGCAGTATCAGAATGGCATATTTTTCAAATGATGCCAAGGAGCCTTTTACTAATTTGACATGGGTTGATCTTAGATCCTCATTGTTCAATGTAGTTTTACACTAGCACCACTTTGTAGTAAAAGCTCTCATGTCTCATGCCATCATAAAAAGATCACATATCTCTCACACGTCATTGATCATTCTTAAATGAGGGGCTCTCAAGCCTTTATGCAATAAAAAATAAGGTCATAGACGTTCTAGAGCTACATACCTCTTACTTTTTAGTGAGATCATTCTTTAATTGAAAGCTGTCATGTCTTATTTTATTCTAAAAAGATCACACACTTCTCACACTTAGTGCGACCACTCTCCAAAAAATAAACTTGCTTTTCCTGGTACAACAAAACCACCTTATATATATATAAATATATATATAATATATATATATATATATATATCCCCTCAATCCTTTAGAAATATTTATAAGTATGAGTATCACCAAGGATCATTCTTTTTGGGTTTCACTTGGCATTTTAAATTTTTTTCTAAGTATGGACATCGCTAGGGGTCACCTTTATTAGGTTCCCCTCAACCCTTCAAAATATTTTCCAAGTATATGATCATCCTCTATAGGTTTTCATCAGCCATTTAGAAATTTTTCTATGAGGTTTTTCTCTATAAATTTCTCATAACCTCTAAAAAAATATTCTAAATATAAAGTCTAAATTTCTCATGACTTCTTTTATATTCATGGTTCCTTTTTTATACTTATAATTTTTTTCAAACATGGTGAACACTCTTACACACAAGCTCTCTAGTTTATTACCCGTGATTTTAACATCTCTTCTCATATGAAGGAAATTCAATGAATTCATCATGGTAATAAGGTATTTTTACAAGTCTTTACGAATTAATATCGTAAAGACATAGCGAGCTACTGATGGATCCAAATAAATTAAACCCCAAAAATAAATCTAAAAAAGTCCTTTAAACGAGGAAAAAGCCTAAAAACACCCAAGGAACTTGGGCTCGGGCATGGTAGCCCGAGCCCATGCTCCTTATATGGGTGCATGAGCACCATACAGTGCACTGCTATGCCCATGTAATGCATTGGGTGTCGCCATGGAATTTTTCTCAAACCCTATATGAGTCTCTCGATATTTTATATTAATCTAATACATATTATTTTAAGTAGACTACAACTCAAAATATTACAAGGATAAAATTATACTCTAACCTCTCCTCTCTATAAAAGGATAAGATTCATGGGTTATAAATACACCATGAATCCTTCAAGTCAAAGGTTCACAATCTCTTTATTCTCAACATTTTTAGTTTATATATTTTCAAAGTCTACCTTTCTAAAATATCATTGTACTTTCTCTCTCTAAAAAGTTACTGACTTTACCACCAAAGAGTTCTCACGTCCATCAAAGAAAACCTTTTGCAAACACTAGGTACCAGTCATGTGGCTTACCAGATACCAACTCTTGTTCATAATATCTTTATTCTCTATATTTTTAGTATATATATTTTCATATTCTACCTCTCTAAAATATCATTGCACTTTCTTTCTTTACAAAGTTACTGACTTTATTACCAGAGAGTTCTCACATCCATCAAGGAAGATCTTTTGCAAATGCTAGGTACCGATCACATGCTTACCAGGCACCAACACTTGTTACTATCACAGCTATCAGTCACGTGGCTTACCAGGCTGCACCAACACTTGTTACTATCACAGCTATCAGTCACGTGGCTTACCAGGTACCTTTTAGTAATAACTATTGAACACTTTTACTTATCAAGTACCATCTGCTACTAGCATAATTATTGATTACCTAGCTCTGTAGACATCATCTTCTACCACTTACCAATCCTGTAGATTTTCCATATCAAGTCATTAAAATACTTTAAATATAAAAAATGAATCAAATTACTTGAACTAAAAAGTCAAATAATTATTCAACACATCAACTTTATTATTAAATATCTTGGATTTTGAAACTCATAAGTATTAATAAATTTATTTCCTCCATTTTTTTTTATCGATTTTTACTTGGATCTTTTGAGTGGGTGGAAAAAACTCTTACTACTATTGATCAAATGCATGTATTCTCAGTCAAGACACCAATTTTCTCTAATGGAAGCTGAAAAATAATTAGTTTGGTGGAGACCTGAGACGGGCCTAAGGTCAAGTCCGTTCAAATCTGGATGCACACTTAAAGTGTCCCGACCTGTATTCAACAGGCAAAAGGGGTCCACCGAGGTGGAAAAAAGAATCATGGGCCCGAGGCTGGGTCCCATAAAAGAGACCACTGTCGGCTGGCCACCCCGCTGGGCAGCACGGAGTAGGACCATTACAGGCAGCATATGTGAATCACCCCGTTTGTCACGATGGGTTGACATCAATATATGCCCACTGCCTTCTTACTGTGTCCTACACCACATAATTCCAAAACTTCACCTTCACTCCCTTGTGAAATATCAAGATTTCAGCTTCACAAAGGCCTCTTGCAGACACCGATTAAGCCAGCACAGATTCGAGTCCTATTTCCCTAGCCATCCTGCCCAAATTTTGTGTTGCATCTTGTAGACAATTTTTAAGACACTACCATTATATGACACGTCCATTTCTCCAAGACCATAACTTAACTAACTTATATATTGTCTCAATGCCAAAAGAAAAGGGGGGAAGGACCAGAAGATTTGGACGGTATACAAAAGTCTACACCCTCCGGCAATTGAATCAAGGTCCGAGGAAAATGTGCTTACTGGGATTCCTAGGTGATTGTATTCTCTCCTTCCTTTTCCATTTTTTTTAAAAAAATTAGGTGCTCAATTCCAAGATGAGAGATATTCTTGTCCAAGGGAGCTTTTTAAAAAAAGATAAGGATTCTAGATGATCTTTGCGAAGATCATCTTATAATCAATCAGCTTTGTGTAGCAGTGCTTAAGAGAGTAGATTTGCTCTCTATATTTTACTTTTGCTTTTATAATTTTCAAACACTGATGATGCCTATCTCCCCATTGAAAGACTATAAAGTCAATTAAAAAAAGAAAAGAAATCCCTCCAGTAATTTCATGGAAGTACACCAGTTTAGCTGGAAATCAAGGTTAATTAGCTTAGCTCACGAAGTCATGCTGCTAATGCCTATATATAGCCTACCCAGGAATTGATAGGGGGTGATTAGAATCTAACCCATTTCTCAAAATTAATCACAATATTATTTATTCATATGACTCCTAGGTTGCTAACTTTTGACAAACAATATCACTACTTCTGCTGCATTGACTTGCACTAAGGTGTGTGTATTTTTGCATGGTGGTATATTTAAAAATATATGATTAATTAATAAACACTACCATAGTTTTATCTTATTTTAATATATATATATATATATATAATTTATAACTTCTGTTTTTTTTAACCACAACATCAAAACTACATTGCGAAACACAAACCAGTGCAAGTGTTGAAGTTTACATGCTAATAACATCATATGCTGATCATCATTCGTAGGCTTGGAGATCAATCAACTATGGATGGCCCATATTCCCATAAATATCAGTGCTTGTAATAATCAGAGTACTCAAAACATTAAAGAAAGATGGGAAGGAAGAAATGGAAACCTGTTCGAATCCAATGCAAGACTGGTTTGAAAATGACCCTTAACTGCACAAGGAAACATTTTCGCGTTTCATTTATGAAACCTTGACGACCCGGAAGGCCTTCCCTCGCCTCGTAGCATTAACTTAACTCTGCATACATGAAGTAAAAACGTTTTGTTTCTTCATTTCACCAATGGTATACAGATCTTTCATGGTCATGGAACATAATAAATGCTAGAAAAATGTTCAAAATTAGAACAAAAGGGCATTTGTCGTTGGATTGTATGGAATTAGTTTCTTATGGATGTCCCAATCATGGCATGAATGATTTAATACAAAAATTAATCCCAACAGGAGAAAATGGTTAATCCCAACACTTATGGTGATGAACATAATCTTTTTTTTTTTTCTTTTAGCAAAATTCCCCGCCCCTCTTTTCGTTGGCTCTTACATGAAAAATGGAAGCACAATTCATTTTAATTGCTCCTTTTCTTTTATTTTTTATTTTTTTGGAATAATTACCTTTTTGGGTGTTAAAAAAGTAATTTGAGAGGCGTACGATGCTGCGTCTAAAATAGTGTTTGACTAAAATAATCAAAGAGGAGGTACAGTAAAAAAAAATGTTGTGGCAATGATGAGAGCGCAGGGCACTGGTGGGTGCAGGATAAGCACGTGGGCATCGCCTTTTCTCATTGCTCGCTGGCATGCCCATGGAAAATTTGCCTCAAACTCTCCACATTCTAGTCCTAGTTACGAAAACAAAACAAAAAATACATTAGCAGTGCTTTAGTTCACAGATTTTCATATTTCAGGTCCTGTCTTGCTGTGAGTGATTGGCTGTTTATACTTGTTTGAGCATATCAAGAAGAACCTTAGATTTGAGGTTGCAATCTTTATATTTTACTTCCATTCTTTATTTATTAGCATGTGTCTTCCTTCTAGTTAAAGTAAAGCTACTAATGTACATTCTTACTCTTAATTTCTAATTCTACAATCTTGGTTTTGGTATTTTTTTACCAAGCTGTTGTTTGAGGGGTGATTGGGCTTGACGGCATTGCAGCACTTTGGTTCTTTGTTTGCATGTCCAAATCATATGGGGTATAGAATTTGACGGAAGGGACATGGACATTGGAGTGTTTGATCTTCAGGGTTTGCTTCATTATTGATGGTTTTCGCAAGTAATTCTATATATATATATAACACTCAGATATTGTTAATCACACCCACAATAAAAGCTCTAGGTATCCATTCCTTTGTTCTAGTATCCCTCTCTCTCTCTCTCTCTCTCTCTCTCTTCTCTTGAATTGATGAAAATTAAAGGTTTTGATTGCCTGGAATAACAACTTGCTGGTTTCCTAAGTAGTAGTGAAACTTTGTACAGGAAGCAGGTTGTCTTATTGAGTTCTGTCTTCTTCTTCTGAGATCATCTTTCGCTTGCTGTTGAAGAAGGGACCTTTAGGGGCTTCTCATGCATTGAATGGGATGCTTACGTTGGTGAAGAAGTGAAGAAGTCAGGTCTATCTGATTCAGCTATATTTAAAAAGCAATTTGATGAACACATAATCAAGAAGAAAACCAAAAGGATTAGCCATGAAGTTCATGAAACTCGGATCCCGACCGGACACGTTCTACACTGCTCAGGCTGTCAGGTAAAAAAATTAGGAATCATTCAATAGGCTGCTGATAATGTCAGATGACGTATATCCTGAAGGAAAGATGACAGTAATTTAATTTCGCAATGCAGGTCTGTCTCCTCTGAAGTTTCCAGTGACCTTGTAGTTCAAGTGAAAGGGAGTAGATATTTGCTTCACAAGGTAGGTAAAGTCCTTAAGTTTTCTTTTACAAAAGATTTGGAATAAAGGATATTGATCATGGCATCTATTCCTTCGATTCGTCTGGATTATAATTTCAGTATTCCTGATGCTGATTTTTGCAGTTTCCTCTGCTTTCCAAGTGTTTGCGCCTACAGAGACTGTGCTCTGAATCCCCTGAAACCTCACAACACCATATAGTCCAACTCCCTGATTTTCCTGGTGGGGTTGAGGCATTTGAACTCGGCGCAAAGTTCTGTTATGGTATTACAATCACTCTTAGTGCCTTCAACATAGTTGCTGTGAGATGTGCTGCGGAATACCTGCAGATGACAGAGGATGTAGAGAAGGGAAACCTAACATACAAGCTTGAAGTTTTCTTCAATTCCTGCATACTTCATGGGTGGAAAGATTCGATTGTCACTTTACAGAGCACCAAAGAATTTTCTTCGTGGTCAGAAGACCTTGGAATAACAAGCAGATGCATTGAAGCGATTGCCTCTAAAGTCTTAACTCATCCATCAAAGGTGAGTTTGTCGCACATTTACTCTAGAAGAGAAAGAGATGACGAGTCTTGTAATGGAGCGGAGAGCCAGAGACATAAACCGCTAAGCAAAGGGTGGTGGGCTGAAGATATGGCAGAATTAGGCATAGACCTGTACTGGAGAACCATGATAGCAGTCAAGTCCTGTGGAAAGATGCCATCTAGTCTCATAGGGGAGGCCTTGAAAATTTACGCAGCTCGATGGCTTCCTAACATATCAAGAGAAAGAAATGTTAGTAAGCAAGTAGCATCTGACTCGGATTCAGACTCAACCAATGAGATAACTTCAAAGCATAGGGTGCTTCTAGAATCAATAGTAAGCTTACTCCCAGCTGAGAAAGGTGCTGTATCTTGCAGTTTCCTTCTCAAACTTTTGAAAGCAGCCAATATTCTTGATGCCTCCTCATCTTCAAAGATGGAATTGGCCAGAAGAGTGGCACTTCAAATGGAGGAAGCAACAGTTAGGGATCTGTTAATACCCTCTATCTCATATGCAAACAGTACAGTGTATGATGTAGACTTAGTCATCACCATATTGGAGCAGTTCATGGTACAAGGGCAGAGTCCTCCCACTAGCCCTCCGAGATCCAAGCTGGGGTTTGAAAGGAGAAGGTCGCGGTCAGCAGAGAATATTGTCTTGGCGTTTCAAGAGAGCAGGAGGTCTTCTTCAGCATCACATAGCTCAAAGTTGAAGGTGGCAAAGCTTGTGGATGGCTATCTTCAAGAGATTGCCCCAGATGTGAATTTGCCTCTTTCAAAATTCATCGCACTTGCTGAGGCCATTCCAGATTTCTCAAGGCTTGATCATGATGATCTCTACAGGGCCATTGACATTTATCTCAAGGTAAAATTACAATTTCATATTATTTTAGTCAGCAAAATTAACCATAACTCTCATGGCATTTCAATGTTAGGACATATTTCACCCTCTGGCTAGATTTCTAGGTTTCTTTATCATATTCTAGGATTTAGGTCCCCACTGTCTGTTAGATAACCAACTCTCTTGACCTCTGGATGTGTCAAGCGCACAAGTATTTGACAGTTAGGATTAGGCTGATCTGACAAATTTAGCATTGAATTATTATTGTTAATAATCTTTTGATGTATTGAATTGCCACTCCAAGACTAATGAAGGGGTTCATCTTTTGATATTTGACAAAATATGAATTTCACCTGGTCACAAAATTAGCCCCCTTACCTTATGTCAATTGCTTGACGTATTATAGAATTAGCCATTTTTAATTACCAACTCAAGATGGGTACATGGTGACAATTTTCATGAACGAACATCAGACACATCCAGACCTAAACAAGAGTGAAAGAAAACGATTGTGCAGAACCCTAGACTGCAAGAAACTATCTGTTGAAGCCTGCATGCATGCCGCACAGAATGAGTTACTCCCACTGAGGGTGGTGGTACAAGTTCTCTTTTTTGAGCAAGCTAGACCAGCCATGGGTAGTGGCAAAGTCACCGAGCTGCCTAGCAACATCAAAGCACTACTTGCTGCACACAATATCGATCCTTCAAGGCCAGAAACTGCATTAAGCACGACTACTAGCATTCCAGCAGATGACCAATGGAGTGTTTCAGGCCTTAGAACACCAAAATCTAAGGTTTCAACACTACGGATGAAATTGGCTGAAGATGATTTAAATGAAAGTGATCTGCAATCAGAAGGGCTCAGGAGAACTTCAAAGTTCAAGTCTTTCTGTGCTCTTCCTACACGACCAAAAAGGATGTTCAGTAAGTTCTTGTCCATCAATAGAAATACAAGTGAAAAAAACTAGGTGAATTTTGTTAACTTCCAGAAGCATATGGTAATTTAAAGTGTAACATACACAGTCTTTTTTCTTTTTTTCTTCTTTTGAAATGCCTTGTAATGTGTAGCTGAGAAGGGAAAAAAATTCTAATGTGCATTTGCTATGTAATCTCATATAATAAGAAAGAAAATTTTGAGGACATGAGAGAAAATGAATATCTTTTCGTTGATCTCATTGTGGGAACTAGAAGAAATAAGGACTCTTAATTAGATTTAGAACAACAATTCTGGGACCAATGTTCTTGAGTTTGTCTATAAATCTGCAACATCTGCCTTTGTCTCCTTTCATCCCACTGGATTCTCACCTCTTCATTGATTGCGATTAGTTTTCGATTATTTTCGTCTGACTTTGTATTGTTCTTCCCGTGTAGGAATTCGAGGTTTGCTTATCTGTTTTTAGCTAATAATTATCCGTTGTTGTTGGAACCCATTAGAATAATCATGCTAGTCTGATTCTGGTTGGTCAGGAAACTTTTCCTGCAAGTTCGCTTGTCACCAAAACAACTAAACAAAGATGACTTGTTAAGCTTCAAATCGTCCCCATGAAGGACACATAATTTCATTAAAAAATCAGTGACCAACAAGACATATACATGAAGCCTAATACCAGCAAGCAATTTGGAGCTATTCTAATCTACAAAAATACTCAGATTGGTTTTACTAGTGTCAAAATCGGTGCTAGGGTTTCCTTCTTTCTTTGGTAGTTTAAGGTTTGTTATACAACGATTATAGTGGGCAGCAACTACCTCGTAAAAAGGGTTAGGCAGAACTTATGAAGGCGAGTCAGTTAGAGAGCATTGGTGTGGCCATCATTGAAAATTTCCACAACAGAACATGTTGCTTGTCAATTGCTCAAGATAAGTAAACGGAGAAATGATTGATTCTGTCGTCCCATTCCAATCTAATTATGCGCATGGAGAAGACCTTAGGGATCACCATTATCATTCATTCCTAACCATTCATGATCAAATAAATAGCCACATACCTGCTAGATTTCACATGCCAAACAAACTATAGGTGGGAGGACAAAAGTAAAAAAATGTAAGCAAAACATAACACTTGTGCTCCAGGACCTGAACTTTTATATTCGAGGTTAAAACTTCACACCTCATGCCCTTTTTTCCATTTAACGTGACCTGTTCTTGGGCTTCAATTCTAATGCACGTTCTCACCGGTACTCAAGAAATCAGGTTGCAACAGCACTCTATAAAATATTTTACGGGGTTGTGCAGGCATGAGCGTGACCATGTATGGGTGTGGGGTCCTGCTTGGTAGCATATCTTCATGCTAAATCCATTTCAAGGTTATCTACAGTTGGATATTTCTTGAGTCACTGTGTAGCCAGCTCCATGCTGCTGCATATTGACGGTTCTGAGCTTCATCCTCAAATGAAGCTTCCAATGTTTTTTTTTTTTCCTTTCAAAGTCTTGTTTCTTTTTCAATTCTCTGCTGATGATGATGCCAGGAGCTTGGACCATTTCATCTACCGCTGTTTCTTTTTCAATTCTCTGCTGATGATGCCAGGAGTTTGGACCATTTCATCTACTGTTTTTATTTTCTCACAAGCACACCATTTTGCAGAAAGAATTTCAATTCTGACGTAAAAGGTAGATCAATATAATCTATTTATACGTTGTTTAGAGTCCATTGCTGAAAGCTTATCAGATCTAAACATGCATCTTATTAGCTTCAAGGTTACACTTCAATAGTTAGGAGATCACAAGATTAGTAATCGAATTATACAACGAGTATGAATTGAGGTCTAAGCAGATTAGCTAGCGTTCAAAAAAAACATAGGATGATTGATTGATGTTGGCCGTTACTCCTAATGCTGGTCTTCCCAATGGGGCACTAATATGGAAAATATGTACTGGGTTTCTGGACAGGAGTGAATGAAAGGTGAACCCTGTTACCATGTGAAGAGACAGGGTTCATTTTGCTGATTTGGTTTCTACTGGTTCGATTGTTCATAAAATGCAAGATAGAGAAAGGATTCTGCTTCCAACACCTGTGGTTCTTTAATCTGATCAGAATTACTAGAAAATATTGGTGAATAGCCTGGATACCGACCATAACAAAAACTACTAGTTCATTCCATTTACTTGCTAACAAGAACTTTTTCCTTGCAATCCTGACCAGTGTATTGTCAAAAGCAGCTTTTAGGTTCGCCTTGTGTAAAAAGACATGCAGCAATTACCTGCAGAACCCCTCTTCTTTTCCTGATCTGAGGGAGAGACGCAAAAGAGATGTAGAAAATAGGTAACATTTTATTTATTCAATAAAAACGAAAAGGAAAAAGAAAATGGAAAATGGAAAATGTACAACTTCAAGACCGCCATGCTAGCAAACAACTGCTGTCGCACACTTACAGGTGTACATCAGTACGTTCATGTGAATTACTGGGCCTCAATTGTGTTTAAATTGCTCGCGCCATCAGCTGTCGTATTGATCTTAGTTTCAGAATCTCGCTGAGAAGCAGAGTCAATGCTTTTGGTTCTTTGAAGGCTCGGGGCACGGTGTAACCTGCACCGGAAAGAACCAGCATGGGAGGTTGGAGAGCATAGGCAATTGCTCTTTGTAGCGCTTGACTGTCTTTGAAGCCCGGAAGTAAACTTTGTGCCACCACTCGACATTCTTTCAGTCTCTGATGGAATCTCTACCTTCATGACCTTGTTGAATATCTGCCCTCTCTCCATTCTTTGAGGTCCCGCAACCTGAGACTTGAGTCAATGCCATATAAACATAAGAAGGTAATAATACTTGATATAAATAATTCAGGACTGGTATATATTGACCTATCAAACAAAAACTATAAACGAAATACTGAATGTCTTGAACCACAGAAGGATATCCTGATTATATGGCCATGAAAGTTCTGTCAACGAACTTCTTGTGGCGTGAGCCTTTATTTACCTCCAAGTGAAAGGCTGAAGATTGAGATTTGGAAGATGCTGGGAGATTGAAATGGATAAAGATAAGAAAGGTGATGGGCTATGGATTGTGTTTGAAACTTGTAGAAGGAAATGATATGTCTCTCTATATCATTTCACGGGAGCGCTAAACATCACCATCAACGTCCCACCTGCAGGTGCTTTAACTTTTGATAATGCTTCAACCACTCCGTAAAAGAAAATACCATCAATAGGACCCCGTCTTTCCCCCATAGGTGAATCTCCTTCTTATCCTCATCCACTTTCTGTTTACTTTGAATCGCGATTCATGCTGCTGAAAAATCTCTTTGAGGGTCCCCCGTTATAATGGCAGATATTCTCGCGGATGTCAATTATCTTATCTCTTTTACTAGAACCCATTTATGATTCATGTACCACTGTTGAATGTTGATGTATGGGAGGATATGCTTGTATGCAGTGTTCTTTGATCGCCTTTGCTTAGAACAAAACAGAAAACAAACAAAAAAAGAAGATGGAATTGGCTATTTTTCACACTTTCTGAACAAAACAGAAAACAAACAAAAAAAGATGGAATTGGCTATTTTTCACACTTTGTTACTATTTTTTTTCTCTCTAATGTAGTTTGCTTCTTTTAAGGGTTTACGATAAACTAATCTTTTTACGAGAAAGCAAAATGAGAATTTTAAATAAAATAAAAAACACAACATAAAATTTAAAATTAAGGTAAAAATCTAAAAAATAAAGGGAAAATAATAAAATTAACTCAATCAAGCTTTGCTAGTTACCATCACATTGTTCGTTTGGCACGAAGATCTCACTTCTTACGATTAGCTTTATATATCCCACTGGTTTATATACGAATATGCTAGACTTTCTGTATAATCTATCAGTAGCATGTCCATAACAGAACGTCCAGAACTATCAGATGAGCTAGCCTATATCAAGAACTTATCTTTTACTCTTGTATCTATAAGTTATGTTGAGACTGTTCAAATAAGGTGTGATATGGTTTTTGCAGCTGCATCAGGATACCAGGCTCGAGGGCTATAGATAGTAGAGAAATTGGCAATAGGTGGAGTCAACGGAAATGGAGAGCCACCATTTTTGCACCATGAACTCTCATATTACCGATTTGATATGGCCTCTATTATTTCTCCTTGGAGGGAATGACATATTGCATTGTTAAAAGAGCTCAATGAAATTCCCAGAAAACTTGTCGCTGGTATTCGGAGTAGAAAAGGCATTTTGTGCCTGGAAAGAATGGGTGGTGGCCTTCTGAACCAAATTAGCTTCAATTGTGGAACTCTTAGGTATTATTGAGAGGGATCTCATGAGAAGCAAGCAGGCTATGAAATTCATAAAAGGAGACCAGTTCTGATCTAGTAGGTAGTGTGGCAACTCTATTTCGAAATTCACCTGGAAATTGATGAAAAATAATTGCACTAAACTCAGCAGAAGAGAGAGGTTTACCAACAGCTGCTAATTCATCAGAGATTGATTTCATCGTACAAAGATATTGAGAAGCTAAAAGATCATTCCTAGGAGCCTTCTACAACTGAATATGCAGCTGACATGCATTGCCTCGTGTAGGACATTGAAACAACGACAGTCTCTAAGGCTTTCCATATAGTAAATGAAGAAGTGAGTCCATCCATAAAACTTCCTCAGAAAGGGAAGAAAGCTGGCAAGACATGAGAGTCTGATCGTGTTGAAACCAAGCATACCGATGCCATTAATAAAACTGGTGAGTTTTTTTTATGTTGAGGATAGGAACAAATTGGGTCGACGTTTTCGAGGTTAAATAGTTTGTGGAGGTGAGTTTGATGCAAAACGAATAATGGGGTTGGAAGGTAAGTTAGGTGGAGGAGGAGGAAGGAAGAACATGAGCGGAAGAAGAAGTCACCATCCAACAGCTTTGATTTCAAGTTGAAAACAAGATAGAAGATGAATTAAGTTGGAGGTTTCTACATAAAATGTATTCCAAGAGATCAATCTAAAATTAATTTTAAAGTTTTATTTTACAACTTATTTTTTATATATAATATTAAAGTTTGAATTACAGTGATCAGGAATTTCAATCACACTACACTATTTTATTTAATTAAATTAATAAAATTAAACACATATAACACTGATATAAAATTATTCTATAAAAAACACACACATATATTAAAAAAAAAACTAAAAATAATTAGACATGCATTACAGAATATATATATATTCTTGTATTGGAGTAATTAAGTTAACAAAGAATCAAAACTAAAAGAATTTTCATTTTAGAGTATGCCAGGAAACTTGATAAAGACTTTCATGGAGTTTCACGATCAATTCGTACAAAGCCCCCTGAAGTATTGTCTCTTTTGATTTACACCTCTTTAAGATTTTTTATATTTCAATGGTAAAACTATTGTTCGTATAAATTTCCACTTTTTTCATTAGGTTTTGCTAATAAATCTATTAAAAACACATGAAACCCACATGCATGGGGAAAAAAAAAGGTTAAGATAATTAACAAATAAAGAATAAAAAACATTACGCAATATGAAACGCAAAAGGCAAGAAGAAATTTTTACAATAAAAATACTGATAATATAAAAAGGGAAAGTGATTTTGATTTGAAGGTTGGTATTTTTTTTACTTTTTTAAATGAGAGTTTTCTATTTTCGTAATAAATAACTTTTTAATGATTTACATCCGATTTGATATCTTTTGCTGTGAGGTTGTGGGATTGTACATGGAGCAACACCAATAATTGATAGTTAATGTTGTTCGAAGAATTACTAGCTACTTTACAGAATTACTAACTATTTTACTCGCATTCCGTTACAAATAAAGATGTCTTTTTATAAAAAAATTATACATAGAAGTTTTTTTATATATAAAAAAATTATTAATAAATTAAAATAATATTTTTAAAAATTAAATATACATAACACCATTAAAAAATAAAAAAAAATATCATTGAGAAAGGAAAAAAGCAATATTAGAAAAAATAATAATAATTTAGTTGTAGTGATTTAATTCATCAAAATCATGATTTGAATTATAAACTCAATTAAATTTAATATTTTTTTAAAAAAATTATAATTAATCTAAAAAAATAAAATAAAACCCTTAAGATTTGGAAGCCTATGATCCAGTACAACCGGGCCACTGCAAATCCAAATTTGAGCCACTATGTTAGTACTTAGAAAATCAGGTAGTTAATATTTTGGTTAAAAAACTTAATTTTCAAGTTATTTTAACTTAAAAAATTCTTACCAACACCCTTGTAATACCCACAAATCATTTTATTAATTTCAAGTACCAAAAAAGTGGTCAAAAAACTCAAAATCAAATTAATTTAGTTTTGGGTGTCTTAAGTTAGATCTGGTTTTTCATCTAATATAGAGGCTGTAAATAATCATTATGAAGTTTCTTATATCTCATGGAGCTTGTTAATATTAAAAAAATTATTTTGGATGCTGAAAATGAAATAAACGGTAATTTTTTCTTTTACTGTTGGAATCCAACAATCAGGATTGTATACTAAAATTAATTTTTTAAAATTTAACAGAATATAAATTGAATATATTATGCTATTTTTAAATATCGATAATTTAAGTATATTTTTCATACAATTTTTAACACACTATCCATGTTTAATGTCTCTTTTATTTGTTTTTTTTATTTTAAATTCACTTTTGATTGAAAATTCATACACTGCAAGCTCTTCAATTAAGATTAAATCTCACAAAATAAAATTTTGATAACCAAAACGAATTATTAAAAATATATAATATGTACACAGTGTATTGTATGTTTGATTAGTATCGGATATTCTTAAACACCGCTCATGCCTTTTAGATGTTTATTTAATTGGAAAAATTATACATTTTTTAATATAATTTTATGAATTTGAAGAAGGTAACCAATAAACATAAAAAAAAAAAAAAATTAAGAACGTTTATACTGAAATGTTTATTGGACATGTCTGATTAGTGTACTTCAATTGATGGTGTCTCTTCAACTAGAGACTATATGTGCATTCTCCCGTTTGTATCTTATAAAATCAACATTCGAACAGTAATTAAACAGTAGTTTAGCTACTGTGGAAATAATTTTCGACAGTGAGAGACTGGATAGGACATGGAAGGCAATTTAAGACATTCCCTGCATCCTTTTTTAGGGTGTGTTTGTCACTTGGTTTTAAAAATATTTAATTTTTTATTTTAAATTAATATATTTTTAATATTTTTAAATTATTTTAAATTACATTTACAAATAAAGTATTAATATCTCTACATTCTCAGGCATGGCACGAAGTCTTTGAATCTTCTGCTTGAAAAAGCTGGGTCACTCATTGATTCTATTTTCTCTGACAGGATCTCTTCTTGTCGTTAAAATCTTGAAGCTCTTCTTTCCTGGATTGGCGTCTCTGTCCTTCAAATTAATACCCCTTCACCGTCGCAAGTAGGAACCTCTCTCTCTCTCTCTCTCGTGCATTATTAGATTTCTTTGACGTGACAGGAACAGTAGTATGATCGCCCACCTGAGAAACTGGATAAAAGAGTGAAGCCATCGGATCTGTTCTTCAAGAATTATATATCAGCAATATGCATGGTGATAGGATCTCCGTAGCCAGCATGACTGATACGAACGAATGGCAAGCACGTCCGGATGTGATTCAAAATGCAAATCTTTCACTTACAAATTGAAGAAGAAATTACTTTACTTTGCATGCATTTCGATCGATCTGTTGAACTTTCGATTCATGTTCGGGAATTGCAAGCAATTAATTGTTGAAAATGATCTTGCAAGGTAATCTTAGCATGCGGGGAGGATAATATATTATTATTTCGTCTCATAATTAAGCTTTTTAATGATTATGATTATTTATATATTTTTATGTTTTAAAAATATTTTAAAAAAATTAAAAAACTTTTATTTTTTATTTATTTTAAATTAATATATTTTTAGTGTTTTCAAATTATTTTAATATACTAATATTAAAAATATTTTTATAAAATAAAATTATAATTCCAAACGAGGTAAATTTGCACAGAGAGTATTTTTTTTTCTTAATTCTCTAATAACTGAACAACAACTCACCACTCATTTCTCTTGTTAAATCAATTAAAAGAAATCCAGGGTAGTAATGGACATGCAGATTTCGAATCTCAAAAACTTTTATTTCAGTAGGCATGTTAGAAAAATAATATAAAAATATTTA